AGTTAGCAGACCCAGCTGCCCAGATCGGGGCAGAGCAAGAGAAGACCACTGTGTGGGGGGCATTTCCCACGAGGCATGTTGGGAGAACACAGTCGGGGGGGATCAGCAAGCAGAGAGCAACAGAGAAGCTTCCAACCCAGAATCACCGGGGCGCTTGGTGACATTTTAAAACAGAATTCCCGCCTGCCCCTCCCCGCAGCCGGCTGTGATCAGAGCAGACGGGCAGCCTGGCGCCCGCCGGGCATTTACAGAGAGATCGCTGGACCCACCACTCCTGTCCTGCACTGTCTCCAAACAGCACAAGTTGTTTGCGCCCTGCAGGCCTCCCCCTCCCTCAGCCCCAGCCCAGCTCCCCAAGAGCCAGAGACTGTCAGATCCAGAACAGGCAAAACACTCGCTATTCCTGCTGGGCACGTGCCAGTGCCGCACCTGCTAAAAATACCCACCCGAGGGGGCGCATCTGGAGAGGTGCCCCGAATTCCTTCCCGCGCCCCAGCCTGCCAAGGGCTCCTCCTTCCAGGGCCCGAGTTACAACTGGGTTCTGGAAACTGGAGAGCTGGTGCCTGGGGAGCAGTGATGGGGCCACCGTGTCCCTGGTGGCCTGGACGGGTCACTCTTGCCTGACGGTGAGGGTGTGGGAAGCCCCTGGTGGGCTGTGGCAGTGGCCACCTGCAGAGACTCTGCAATGACACCAAGGTCCCCAGAGCAGGGGACCCAGCAGCCTCCTGTCACCCCAGGACCGAGGCGGGGCTGCGGCCTTTCCCATCCACGGCCCCCCTTTAACCAGCAGCCACTGGGTTTCCAGGGTGTGGGCTCCAAACACCTGGCATAGGAAGTGTGGAGAGAAGCACCTGAGAGGGCACTGAGCTGTGGTGCTGGAGGTGAGAACCGCTCTCGGGGCGGGTAGGTGAGTCACGGTCACCAGGGTCTCGCTGGGAACAGAGCTAATCTGGGCAGACAGGTCACGCTGGCTGAAGAAAACACAGGGGGTCATGGGACATGTGGTGGACCCTCCAGGGGCTCCAGTGGGGGATCCAGAAGGGTCCCCATGTGCCTCAGGCCCTGCTGCTCCGGCCTTGGTGACCCTGTGACCCTGCACGGTCCAGCCAGCAAAGAAGGACCAGGCCCGGAGGACAGTATTCTGAGCAGGACAAGCCAGGCACAGAAGGACCATCCTGTGCGACCCACTCGGACGCGGTCCCCGGAGGCCTCAGGTCCCCGGAGACAGGAAGTGGACGGTGGGGACCAGGGGCTGGGGGGGTGGGAGTGAGCCTTTCGCGGGGGCAGAGTGAACGTTTGGGACCAGCATGTCCTGAGGATGGTGGTACATACACAACAGTGTGACTGTGCCCAGTGCCACTCCGCTGGGCACTTAAGAAGCAGCAAGGTGCCCTGGCCGGCGGCTGGTGGTGGAGAGTCATCCTGCGCACCAAACGGTTGTGGTTTTGATTCTTGGGTTCGGGTGCGCATGGGAGGCAATGTCTCTCTCACATCGATGCTTTTCTCCCCCCCCCAAAAATCAATAAAAACATATTAAAAGTGGGTAAGATGGTCAACGTTATATGTATTTTATCACAACAAAGAAAACATTTTTACAGGATGAGTGGAAGGAGTACAGGTCAGTGTGTCACGCTGGCCTCACCCCTGAACTTTGACAGCCTCCTGGGGTCACTGACTCGGGATCAGAAGCTCGAACTTCTCCCAAGCAGCACACACCAGGGCCCAGCCCCTGGGGAGCTGCGGGGTCAGAGGCCCCATGTGAAGAACCCTGTTCCCGCCCCCGAAGCAGAGGGCGTCCCTGGGGGGCTATAGGAAGCACCCCCGGGAGCCCCACCCGTGCGAGTGGAGGCTGGGCAGGGGCAGGGCAGGGACAGGGCAGGGGATGCCCACTCCACAGGAGCGTATGCCCTTTGCTAAAACGGCAGAATAAGACAACGAACCCCTAGTCCTTAATTACGCAGGAAAATACAACTTAAAACTGAACGGAGAGGAAAGTGCTGACTCACACGTCTAACTGTTAGGCCCACTCTAAGTACCTGCAGATGGAGACAGGCTGTCGTGGCCCAGAAACAGCCACACGAGCTCGCTCGGCGGATCGGTGACCAAGGCACACACGTCCCTCAGCGGAGGGGCGGCAGCCCCTTCAACCAGCGCTGCCCAGCAACCGGTCACAGGCCACTACGCACAACGCCCTGGTCCCCACCTCCCGCCTCGTATAAAACCAAACAAAAAGGGGCTGCAGACCTAAACCTAAGACACAAAATTATGAAACTTTTAGAAGAAAATCTTTGTGATCTTGGGTTCAGCTAAAAGCTGAGATATGACCCCAAAAGCACAACCTAAAAAACAATTAGTTGATAAACTGGACTTTATCAAAACGAAAAACTCCCGCCTGGGAAAAACGAACAGACAAGCTAGCTATGGACTAGAGGAAATATTTGCTAATCACAGGTCTGATAAAGGACCTGTCTCGAAAATACTGAGAGCCCAGCCGGTGTGGCTCAGCGGTTGAGCATTGACCTATGAACCAGGAGGTCAGGGTTCGATTACCGGTCAGGGCACAGGCCCGGGTTGCGGGCTCGATCCCCAGCAGGGGGCGAGCAGGAGGCAGTCGATCCATGACTCTCATCATTCATGTTTCTCTCTCTCTACCTCCTCCCTTCCCCTTTCTCTAAAAAAAAAATCAATTAAAAAAAAGAAAGAAAATACACACAGTGCTCTCAAAGCTCAACAGTGAGAAAATGAGCCACCCAGTTTAAAAATGGGCCAGAGATCTGTACAGACACCTCGCCGGAGACGATGCAGAGGCCAAACGAGCAGCACGTGGAAAGCTCTGCACCTCGTGGGCACCAGAACAAAGCAAAATCAGACCCCGGGGAGATGCCACTTCGCGCTCACGAGAACGGCTAAGCTTACAAACCTGAGCACAGCAAGTGCAGACGAGGACCTGGAGCAATGGCACCATCAGCCCAGCTGATGCAGACGGAGGCACACGGCACGTGGGACACGGCCGGTTGGTTCCTCAGAAAGTTAAACCTACACTTAGCACGTGACCAGGCAAATCCACTCCCAGGTATTACCCCCCGAGAAATGAGACGTGGAGACTGTCCACACAGCTCCCTGTGCAAGGATGTCTGCTCAGCTCTGACCACAGTGCCCCAAGCGGGAACCTGCCCGGCGTCCTGCAGCGGGTGACACGGAGCCATCAGACAGCGGGTCACAACTCAGCACAGAGCAGGGACAGCGGGATGGGGACGGGACAGGGACAGCGGGATGGGGCCAATTACTAACTCCCCCTGGGCGTCTCCCCATCCAACTCAGCCTGTCCCCATCTGAGCTGGTGCCACCGCTGCCAAGCCCACTCCCCTGGCCACTGCCACCCCCAGGTCCAGTGGGTTCTGCTGCTTTTGTCTCCTGCTCCCAAGCCTGGCCCTGGGGGACCCCACAAGTCCCCTACCTGGTCTCCCGAACCTCCCACAGTGATCCCGGCACCTCTCTGTGTGCCCATCTGACCTCCCCTTTCTGCTCTGTCCTCCGTGAATGGCTTGGGCTCGTCCAGTGCTGTCCCCGAGACAGCAGGGCCCCGTCCACACCACCGAGCGGCCCTCATCACTGTGAACACCCCGCAGGCACCAGGAGTGTTTACATAAAACCACATACACGCACCGCCCGTGAGCGAACCACACAGGACGCAGTGGGCTGTGGAACCCGAGGGGCGTGGGGGGCGGAGGGGCCCCTGGGGCACAAGTTTCCACGGCACGGTCTTTACGTTCCGCCAGCTGTGTGAGACCAACACACTTAAC